CTGTGCCTTTCTGAACCCCTACCCCTCTGTGCCCTCAGGATTGCAGACCCACACCGTCACTCCTAGGTAACTCAGGAGCTTGCACAGCGAGCACTTTTTAATGACCGAGCTCCTCCCCAGCCCACACAGCTCTCTAACTTTATTCCCACAACAGCAGAGTGATTTGGAGGTGAGTGTTATTTTAAAATAAGATGAAAGCAACTCTGGTGCCTGCACGGGAGTATGCCTCGGTTCCAAGCCCTTTATCCACTATGCCGTTTCCTTGTTTTATCTGCATGCCTTACCTCTACAAAGATGACCTGAATAAAGAAACAAGACTTATCTGACCTCATGTGGTAGAGCTGGTTCAGGAACTGAAGTGATGCCTAATTGCACTTGTTTGCTTGCTCCAGGAATTACCTGAAAGATGGGAGACCACCAAGAAGATCGCAGCCACCGTTAGACACGAAGTCTCCCCGCTCCAAAATGCGGAGGTCACTCTTATCAGGAAAAAATGCATTTTGTTTGATGTGAGTTAGTGACTGGGTTTGTGTTTGTATATATAGGAACCCCTGGCAAGGATGACTGAAGCTCTCTGTCTGACATTCACTTTTGTCCCCTGACCAGGAAAAGCAAGCAGAATTTAGAGAGAGATTCAGAAGCTATGCCCCACTTGGATTTAGAGCAGAGGATCCATATGCAGCGCTCGATAAGGTAATTCATTCTCAACCACCTCCTAAGTACAGCAGAAGCCAGATTAGAAGAGGAGTTTTCCTTTCTCCTAGTTAGATTATTTTAAATTGTGTTTCCTCCGAACACCACCATTATCAAAATAGCCACGCCAGGGAAAATAACACCAGAATGGGTTGAGCTCTTACCACATGCCAAGACTACTATCAAGCCAGCCATGGTGGCATGGGTCTGTCATCCTGGTGGCTTGTGAGACCAAGGTGGCATCACAAAATTCAAGGCTTGCCTAGCTTACAAACTGAGCTTAAGGCTTGGCTGAGTAAGTTGGTGACATCCTATCTCAAAATAAAACGTGAGGACAGGGATATAGATCATTGTAGAGAGAGCTTACCCAGTTTCTGGGGGAGGTCTTGAGTTCAATTCTCAATACACACATGGGCAGTCACATGTGTACATGTGTATGGATGGATGGGAACACACACACACACACAGAGTAAGGGAAGCATATTGCATTTTAATTACCTCGTAGCTCTAAGAGATAGCTTCGGCTTTTCTCCTTTCAGATGTAGAAAATCAGCATACAGTTACATATTTTTTTTTCTTTGCAGATTACAGTTCATAAGTTTCAGAAATAGGATTACACTTCTGGATATCTAAATCTTCTTTGAAGGAATCAGCAATTCTAACAATGATACTGTTTCCCATATAATAACCTTCTCCTTTGTTCTCTGGGGGTTGAGATTATTTTGGGGGGCTCTGCACAAGCTCCGTAAATGTTCACCCACTGAAACTCCGCCTCCAGTCCACTGGGTGTAACTTTTAACCACAGGAAAGCTTATAAGACTAGATGTAAATATTGTTGAGTCATCCAATGTTGGTTTCTCACCAGCTACTTTATTATAAGAAAGACCCACATGTGATTCATAGGAGACTTGAAAGGATGTCTTATAGTTTAATGTTAGAAAAGTGCTTCAGGATCCTAACCTAGCAACCTTGTGAGAGGGATAATATTTCCATGTAGATGCAGTTAACTTCTGGGTTCTTCCTCGAACTCTGTCTTCATGCTTGGCATAGTATTTCCTCTTGGAATGATATCCAAGTTGACACATTTTCCAAATCTTATCCCATTTTCCAATTCTGGCTTTGAATTAAAACAACTGTTTTACTCTATTAAGAGAAAACACACACACACACACACACACACACACACATACACAAAACCAAAAAACAAAAAACACCACTCTGTGGCCTAAGGTCTTCTTGCCTGTTTTGGTGAAGAAAGTTAGTTTATATTCATTGAAAAGGAGTAAGTGAGCATATGTTAATAAAGGATCGTTAAAAGACTGTATCTAAACTCCAGGTGGTCTGAACAGATTGTGGATGGGAAAATGTGTGGTTTTTTTTTACATGACTCACCAATATGTTGTCTACAAACATTTATGACAGATATGTATTGAATCTCGCCGCTTCCACACATGCTGTGGCTGCCTATAGTTGCATATTTAAAAGCGAGAGGCTCATCCTACATCTTTCAGGATGCATGACAGACATTTCAAATAGGGTGGAGCTAGCTGGGTTACCCTTTTCTTGGAGGCATTTGTGTGTGTTTGCTCGGCTTGTAAATCCGATACTTCTAGGATAAGGCTCAACCAGAGGCAGTTGACATTGGGAGATTCAGTACTCCAGGCATCTCACCCCACGAATGGAAGCCATTGACCATCCAGGGGCAAGGAAGGTGATGGTCTTTGGTGAGATTCGTTCATTCTTTATTTCCTTTCTCCTTCCTTCTTTCCTTGCTTTCTGAAGTGAGATCCCCCCACAGTGAAGTGCGGGGTTTTGTTCAGAGCTGAGGATGGGGTGCACAAAATAGGGAAATTACTCTCAAGATAAAAGGTAGCTGGTTTTGAGGGTCATGCAGGCTGCGAAGAGTCCCTCTTGTATAAAAGATGCTGGGCACATCACCACAGGCGTACAATTGTACGCTGGTTGCTCTGCTAAGAAGTGAGAGGAATCTCTTATCAGCAGGATAGAACATTTGAAAGGAGGCTGGGGGTAGAGGCATGTGCCAAAGCCATGCTGCGTTAGGGACTCTTGGGCATGCAGGGCATCCTGGAAGCCTGAAGCTTTTGAGATGGACATTCTTGCCACACGTGGATGTTGTACCAGAGCAGATCTCAGCCTCACTGAGGCAGGGCAAGGGAAGTGCATCCAGAACTTAGAGTATGCACAGGAATCCTGTTGACCCAGCAAGCCTCAGAGTAAGGTGAAGGAAGAGAAAAGAGGTCTGCTGGGAATCTATGGGTCTGTTGTCGTAAGCACCTGTGGTTCCCTTGGGACGAAGGACTAAGCTGCCTTGGGACTCAGGAATTTCCAAGTCCAGGGAACAGAAATAGCTGTATGAGTAGCTGTTTTTTTAGAACCCAATAGAAGCAAACTCAAATGTCTGGACAACATGATCCTGATCTTAACCCAGTGTCCTCAAGGGAGCAACAGACCAGGCAAGTGAAGGTCGGGTGAGCAATAAGACAGCATGTAACCATCACACCTGGGCGTCAGCAGAAGCCCCAGATGCAGAGCCATGTTAAATCTTCAAATGCCAGAAGGAAAATGAGCTTACCAAATGAGCATTGCTCAGTTTTGAGTCTATCAAAAATGATCAGTTGAATTTGGAAAAGTACCAGTTGCTTAAAGAAATGAAAATTACAATTGCCTAAGATATACAACTCAGCAGACAGGAGAACGAGCTAGTTACATTTGGAAAAAGCAGGGGACGTGCGTGTTACACTGGAAGAAATGACTCGGAACTCTGCAGATGGACATAAGGAACAGGGAAGAGATACAGAGGAAGAAATCTAGGACCTAATGCCTATGTCCTAGAAAGCAGGGTAAACAGAATGATTGACAGATCAATAGAGCTAGATAAAGCACGAACTGTGGATTCTAGAAGCTCACTGAATCCTGGTGGGGATAAGTGAAAGCCTATTTAGATTCATCACAGAGAACCTCAGAATGCCAAAGGCAACCAGATAAAACCAGACGGAACTGCTGCTAGAAGTGAGAGGAGGCAAGAGGGACTCCTAGCAAGGACAGAAGCCAGAGGGCTCCGACGACATCTTCCAAATCCTGAGATCATGTTCCAGTAGGAGTGAAATGCAGGCACACTAAATTTCGTGACATCGGAACGAACTCACTGCCGGCCGGCAGATCACCAAAGTATCTCCTGCCACCTTTGCCTCCGGACAATGGGACAGCCAAGTCAAAACGTCATTTTCAGGACAGAGGCACATACAGCCAGGCCTTGGAAAGAAAGATCTGGGTGACAAATGGAATCCTAACAGTCTGGGAGATGATAGATAGTACAGAAAGACCCAGGACTTGTGGCCAGAGAGCACATTAACGTCAAACTTGAAAGCTTCAGGATGAAGTACACACATTTTAGTAAAAGCGTAATTTATCAAGATTTTTCCCCAGAAATAATAATTCTATACAGTGTTGGATATTAGTTTTTTCCTTATAGCTGTGAAAAAAATATCTGACAAGGCAAACTTAAGGAAGGGTTTGTTTGGCTCACAATTTGAGGGTCCATCATGGCGGGAGTATGCGGCAGCTGGCCACACTGCATCTGCAGTGGGAAAACACGGGGTCCTGGGTACTGCTGCTGCTGTCTCTTGGCTCACTTTATCCTATGTATTCAGCCCTTGGAATGGTGCCACCCACATTTAGGGTGGGTCTTTCCATCTCTGTTAATTCGATGTCGCAACTCAAACACAAACATTTGTCTTCTAGGTGATTATATCAAGTTGACAGCATTAACCATCACAGTGACATAAGTATTAATATTAACCAGTAGGAAGAAAGATAGAAAAAAACAAAACAAAACAGAACTAGTGATTAGGACCTGGTGTGGCAGCTCTCTTTGGTTCATTTACATTGCATTAGGTATTAAATATAACTTGGAAAATATTTAAAGTACATGCATATCTTATATACAAATGCCATGCTATTTTATATAAGGGTCTAAGTGTATTTGGATTTGGGTATCTGGGGCAGAGTCATGGAACCAGTCTCCTGCAGATATGGCGGGACAAGCATGTTGTACAACTGGCTGATGCTGCCGTTCTGACATCTAAAAATCTTCAAGAGTACATTTTAAAGCGTTCTCATTACATCAAAACACACACACACACACAAAGTGAGGTAATACATACACTAAGATGCTCTCATTTGTATCCAGCCCACAATGCGTACATAGTTCAAAACATGTACATGACAAACAGACCAATAGTTGCTTGCCAAAAGAGTTAAAACTGATGGAACACAAAGAGATCAAATGTTGATTTTTTTAACATTAAAAAGAAAAAGGAAGAAAAGTAAAGGAATTCAGTCATTGGACCTTGGGACCGAGGTGGCGATGGGAGGACATGGGAGGCAGAAAGCAAACTCGGTTCCTCCTTGAAAAGCCAATCACTTTGGTTTACATTGCCACCTGAGTGCAGGAGAAAGAGCCACGGGGTTACGGGAGCGAGCACCGCAGAAACACGGGCGAGGTGGGTGAGGGGTGGCTCCTTTCAGCCCTTCTGTGACCCCCAGAACTGGTGGCAGGCTTCACTGTGTGAACACGCTGTCCTGTGAATAGAAAGTAAAATTAAGAGTTGCTCATCAGAAAGGGGGAACAAGCTAGCCTGCACTGGATGCAAAACATTAGCCCTTCCGTGTGACAGGACAGCAGGTGAACCTTAGCAGAGGTGACCCTCAGGTGAAATCTGGACACAGGTGTGTGAGAATGAGTGAGTTTGCTCTGGGTGTTCTTGGGCACGTGCGTTCTTGAGTGTGTCGCGTACTATTAATCATCCGCAGGGCCATTTGAAGTTGGAGAGTTTTCCTTCTTTCTTTATTCTTCTCTCCAACCCCCCTCTCCCTTCCCCTCTCCCCTTCTCTACCCTCCCCTGTTCCTTTCTTTCTTCCTTCCCAGGGTCTTATTCAGTGTCCAGGCTAGCCTTGAACTCTCAGTGATCCAGCTGCCTCAGTTTCTTGTATACTGGGACTGTAAGCATGAGGTACTACGCACAGACAGAATTTGGGGTTTCTCTCTCTCTCTCTTTCTCCCTCTCTCTCTCTTTCCTTTCTGTTATTCTCCCTCCCACCCTCCCTTCTCTTTTCTTTTCTTTTTGGTTGTTGTTGTTTTGTTAAGCTAACTGATCATTAAAAAACCAATTTCCGGTAAGGAACGTTCCTTGTCCTTGAGCAAAGTCCCAACTATATGAAGATACTAAGACCTCAAAAGCCCTCTACAGCTCACCAATTACCCAGCAGAGTTTTTGTCAGAGTTCTCTTTTGAGAAACCACAGTTTGAACATGCAGTACCAGGACCAGGGATGGTGTGGCTTCTGCCCCTATCCTGAAGCTTGCATGTGGGTTTTATCCTCAGGCACACCAGGAGCTGGAGGCTTTGGAGGGAGAGATGGGACAGATGCAAGACTGTGCACGTCTCTTCGAGGTGGCTCTTCCCGAGTACAAACAGATGAAGCAGTGCCGCAGAGAAATCCAGCTGCTCAAGGGACTCTGGGATGTCATCGTTTATGTTAGAGTAAGATGCATTTTGGGGGGGGCAGCATGGTTCTCTTTAGTAAGAGGTTTTAGTAAACATGCGATTTCAGTGCCTGTGTCAGTTTATTTGGGTTTTACAATGTCTTGAAGTACGTACACACACGTTAGACTTAAACTCCTGTCTCCAGAATTAAGGTTCAGAGATCTCTGTAAATGGAAGATCCTGCCTTTTGAATATCAGTTGTTTCTATTTAGTTCAGAGAAAAACCTTGTATAATGAGCTGACTGTCTCAGAGCCTTGGGTGATACTACATAGAATATGAATTTAAAAAAATTGATATGTAAATCTGTGTTAAATATACAGTTGGCTGTGCATACAAACTCACATAGACACCCTGTGTGTGTTTTCTGTATGCATACGTAAACTGAAACACACTGAAAATATTTAATTTGTGTGGGACTAATTCTAAAAGGTTACGTATAGAAAGTCCTAGGAAAATAGGCAAGGTGTAAAATATAAATAAACATATAAAATATGAGCAAAACTGTTTTAATGAGATTTTTGTTATTATAAAGGCTTTTGGGTGACAGCCTGATTTATATTGCATGTGGAACTGTAGAAGCCTATTAATAATATGCGTAACAATTTACTTCAACTATGCAGGATGGAGTGGTGGTGGCTATGTGGAATTTTATTATTGCTACCAGGAATTAATACATCATGGTGTTTCGCCCTTAAGCTTGGCATGTTCTGACAATTTTTTTTCCTTTTGTTTTAGTGATGGGGAAGTTTTGACAAGTGCAAGCTAATGTTTTAAAAAAAAATTGCCTTTCCCCTGGTGGAGAGAGTGCCTGTGTCTCGCTGGTTTATATATTTTGCTGTGGAGACAGGCTTCGCCAAATGTTGACACGTTTATCTCCTTGTGCATTTGCAGAGAAGCATTGATAATTGGACAAAAACCCAGTGGAGACGGATCAATGTGGAGCAGATGGATGCGGAACTCAGGAGGTTTGCCAAGGCGAGTTTCATAACTGCCGGCCAGAGCCATTTGTCTTCCTAGGCACTGCCCCCTTCCGTCTCCCCCCTGCCTCTCTGGTGTATCTGGTGTGTGGGGGGCTGTGTTCCCTTATTTACTTCAAACAGAAGGAGACAAGAGTATTTCTCCCGGTCTCGGCCGGTTGGGCGTCTCATCAGACCTGCCCTTCTGAGAACGAACTGGTAAAAAGCCTATCCGAGGTGTGTGCTTTGAAGGGTTTAGCGAGTGCATCAGAGGCAGCCCTGCCCATGAGCGAGAGTAGAGAGAAAGACTGTGAGCATCCGGGCTGAGAGAGCTGTGGTTTAGGGATTGAGCCCTGTTCCCCCCCACACACACCCTGCCTTAGCAACTACGAGTAGTTCATATCTGCAAAGGGACCTGTTGGTTTGGCTCTTGGAGCCAAATCTGGATTTACACAGACTGTTGCCACCTCTGTAACTGTCGGTGCTTACCCCAGCATCCCCAGAGGGTATGCAGTGCACACAGAGCTTCGGTTACCCGAACTTATGCCCTGCGTGGGGCCTGAAGGAAGCCAAAGGCCACGGGCAGTGAAGGGCAGTTAAAAATGTCAGGCTCTGGGGCTGGAGAAGTGACTCGGTGGCTAAGGGCACCGGTTCAGTTCCCGGCACCGCATGGCAGCTCACAGCTATCCGTAACTCCGGTTTCAGGGAGCCTGACACCTTCATACCAATGTGCATGAAAATAAAGTTAAAAAAAAAAAAGTCAGGCCCTCAGGCTGGTAGACTCGCCCATTTCAGGTGGTTCTAAGATGAGAGGGAGGGGGGAGGGGGGGAGGGAGGGAAGGGGGAGGGGGATAGGAAAGGAGGGAAGGGAGGGAAGGGGGAGAGGGAGGGAGGGGGAGGGGGAGAGGGAGGGAAGGGGAGAAGGAAGGAAGGAAGGAAGGAAGGAAGGAAGGAAGGAAGGAAGGAAGGAAGGAAGGAAGGAAGGAAGGGGCAGACCCTTTGCTTTCTTCCTATGTCCCAATGTCTTTGACGAAGGTTGAGGTCTGTGCTCAGCCCGTCCTGTCTCCATCCAGTTTGTTCTCCCACATTGTTCCCTTCACTGTCTTTCCTAATCCATGAATGTAGAAAGGTCTATGTATTCTCCCAAAGGAGATAGTTATATATGTAATATAATGTTATCTATAGGAATTTGGGCGTTTCCCTTACATTTCTTTAGGAAATTTGGTCACTGGACAAGGCCGTCCGTATCTGGGATGCGTATTCGGGCCTGGAGGGCACCGTGAAGGACATGGCAACCTCACTGAGGGCCATCGCAGAGTTGCAGAGCCCTGCTCTCAGGGACAGGCATTGGCAGCAGCTGATGAAGACCATTGGGGTATGTACGGGGGTCACCTCCACTGGAAGGTACCTACTACAATGTGTCACTCCCAGCTTGCCTCGTCTGATGAAGAGTGGAGCATGTGGGGGAAGCCTCTGACTATATGCAACAGGTCAGGTTCCCTGAGGACCAATGACTAGGTACCCAGTGAGCCCACTCCATAACCCTTTATATCTTCCTGGCTGTGTGTTCTTAGGAAGTCACTTTGCTTCTCTCTCTGGGGTTTATTTTTACTTTTATCCCAAGAAGGATTCTCTGTCTGTTTTTTTTTTTTAATGCATCATAGTTGCCTTGTAAGGAGTAATCGAGAAGAAATATGACAGCTTTTTACAGAAATCAAATAGCAGCTAGTGATCTTATGTGCCGTGGAAAGGATCAGAAGGTATAGACCTGATTTTGGGGGGCATGTTGAGACCTTTTTTTCAAACTTGGTATGTAATATGCTGTTGTCTTTGGTAGTCGTGTGGCATGACATAAAGTGGTTTTTTTCACACGTCCATGACACTTGAGGTTCTGTGTTTTTCTCCCCCCAGCTATATCTATGGAAAAGCAAATGTGTCAATAATAAGCTTTGTTTTACACCCGGAGTGAGCTCAATCAGTTGAAAATGTGTCAGGGGAGGCCTGGGGAGCGTTTTCCCCTTAGGTGGAGTAGGAGCTTTCTTTGTGAAGCAATGTCATCATGGTGCAAGGAAAATTTGCAGGGCTGGAAATTTCAACCAGGAAACACAGGGTAAAGGGGACCTTGGAGGGGTGCGGACAGCCTGGCAATGTACCTCTCTCATTCCCCACGCAAAGGAATCATGGGGTCCTGAGCTAAGTTCCTTGCTCCTTGTGCCTTCATTAACTCTTCTGTGAAGTAAAAACAAGGCTTCCCATGCAGTCCTGGGGGGGTCAGATTAGGAAATACAGATGCTCATGGATGAGACCTAGCCTATAGTAAGCACTACATCAAGCAACCCTGAAACTTTAACGCTCCTATTTCCTGAGTCCTCTGAGACATTGTCTACTTACTGATTGGTGTGTTCATTAAGAATTATTTTAGTATCTGCATATATAGCTGACTGTGGATCTAGTCTCTCCTCTTATTTCTTCCTATGTGCCTTTTGCCTTGACACCGTCTGTGATTGCTTATAGAATTTTTTAAAGATTTATTTATTTATAGCATAGACAGTGTTCGACCTGTACGTATCCCTGCACACCAGAAGAGGGCACCCGGTCTCATTACAGATGGTTGTGGGTCACCATGAGGTTACTGGGACTTGAACTCCGGACCTCTGGAAGAGCAGCCAAGTACTCCAGCTGAGCCAGCTGGAGCCAGCTCTCTAGCCCCAAAATGCCATTCTTTCCTTCTTTTTTCTTTCTTTGTTTTTTTTTTTCAAGACAGGGTTTTTCAGTGGCTTTGGAGGCTGTCCTGGTACTAGCTCTTGTAGACCAGGCTACTCACAGAGGTCCACCTGCCTCTGCCTCCCAAGTGCTGGGATTAAAGGTGTGCGCCACCAACGCCCGACTCGGAATGCGTTTTTATATGATTAAAAAAATGCCACCTTCCCAGTCAGACAGCAAGTGGGGAAAGCACCATTTCCTAGACTGGACTCTAGAGCAGAGGCAGAGAAGTGCCAGTGTCTCAGTCACCTGGACTAGTGTAAAGGGAAGCCTTCCCGCCAGCCTGGTTCCAGAGCCACATCAGTCCCAAATAAACACACAGGAGGCTATGTTAATTATGAAGCTGTTGGCCTTGCTTGTTTCTTACTGGCTAGCTCTGACTTAAGTAATTACCCCATAATTGTTCATCTAAGTATTTCTCTTACCGGAGCAAAGTTCCGGACATCTTTCTTCTCTGGTGGGCTACATCATGACTTCCTGTGTTTCTCCTACCCAGAATCCTCCTGAACTCCTAGTCCCACCTATCTTGCTTCCCTATTGGCCAACAATGCTTTATTGACATATACACAGGACTTCCGCATCAGACTGGAGTGCATGTTGAGGGCACAGATTGCACAGTTGGCCGTGGCAGTCACGTTGTATATCCCTGCTCCTGTTGGCGGTGGAATGCAACGAGAAGTAATGCAGAGAGTGATCAACTCAACTGACTTTCTGGGGCTTCCCAGGTCATGTTTATCCAGTCTCCTCTGTGGATGCCCCTCAGACCCAAGCAGTGGATCACTGGTCACTCTGTGGAGGGGGCAAACGACACTGAGAACTCTTTCAAGGTGGTTGAAGCCAGAGAGGGTAGCAAGCTGCCTGAGAGAGCAGAGTGGTGTCCTCTGAGGGCCACAAGGGAGATGACTTTCTGCAGCCATTGTTTGTAAAGGACATGGATTGACTTAGGATGTAGGAAGAATGGAGTTTCTTGTTAACCAAATCCAGGGTGAGGAGTGTTGGGGGGAGTGGCAAAGGATAATGGGAGAATAAAGTGAATTCTCTCACATGTTAAGCCTGCATAATGGCATGAGTGACGACAATTTCTGTCAAGCCACTAAGATTAAATTAGTGGTAAAACTAGGTCATATCACGAGTGACTGGAAATTATGCTCAGTGAGCAGGGCACTTCAGGAAGAAAAGACAAATGGGCTGCTGCCTGGTTCCTGGGGTTTCGACCAAATTATAATAAATGAACAGTCTTTTTTTTTATTTAAATAGGTTTTTGGGTAAAGGCAATAGAAACTGTTTGAAAATGGAAGGCCATGAAACAGAAGAGAGGACAATGTGTGTGTGTGTGTGTGTGTGTGTGTGTGTGTGTGCGCGCGCGCGCGCGTGTGTGTGTGTGTGTGTGTGTGTGTGTGTGTGTGTGTTTGAACGTGGTGGCGACTTGGCCCTGAGTTACTGTAGATGAAGGCCCAGGAACTATAAGCATAGGGAATGAGACCGTATTACCCCGTCTTCTAATGAGCTGGTAGGGAGTGACCTATCCAGGAGCTGTCATTAAATGTGGGTTATTAAAGTCTGCCTCCTTTTCTCCCTACTCAGGTCAGATTCTCGATAAGTGACGCCACAACATTGGCGGACTTGCTGGCATTGCAGCTGCACAGAGTAGAAGATGACGTGAGAGACATAGTCGACAAGGCCGTGAAGGAGCTGGGCACCGAGAAGGTACCATCCGGGGATGTGTCTCTTGCTAGGATACTGGGCTAAGCTCTGAGGTGGTAATACCTTTAGGGGGGCTGTATCTTCCCCCAGGATCCTGGGTTCATGCTTTTGCAAGGAAGCCACTTAGGATGGAGTGTTCACTGACCCTGGAGCGTGGAAACATGTACCCAAGAGTTTCCTCTGCTGCGGTCAAGTGGGTGTCCCCGGGCGGGACACAGGATCACTGGAAGGCAGAGGACGTGCAACCACAGGAAGGTTGGCCCCTGCTGAAGGGAGCAGGGGCCACTTGCCTATCTTTTCCTTTGCAGCAAGCAAGACCCACTCTAAGTACCGGGCTTTCATCAACTCAGTTGGTCTTTCATAATAACCGTGTTATTATTTCTAGGGTGCAGGTGGGGAAACCGAGGCATAGAAAGGTAATTGGCTTACACGGGTTTGCTTAGGAGTCAGAGGTACACATGCAGAGGCCCTACCTGCCACCTACCTCATGCTGGCTAATCTATAAGTTGGTGTAACCCTTTAAGTCCCGTCCCTTCTTGCACTTAAACATCCCTTCAGGGAGGAAGATGTAAATCAGACCCAAAAGAAGTTTAGGGTTAGTGTGATGCTTGGGTCCTTTGGAGTGGTGGCATTTACTCCCCCAACCTTGTCACCATGAATCATGTAAGAAAAAAAATGAGGCCAGTCACATTTAATATTTTTAAACTGTTAACATGAGTTTTAAATATTTATAAATGTTATTTATAGTTTATAATTTACAATTTATTTATAGATTTGCAAATATTAACATTAATATAATAGTTAAACTTTTTTCAAATTCTAGGTCATGGGTAAGATATTGGCCCTCAATTTGATGTCTATGCTCTTTAATTACTCAATTATTTTGGTTACTAGGTTATTACTGAAGTCAGCCACACCTGGGAGACCCTGGAATTTTCTTACGAAGCTCACCATCGAACAGGCACCCCATTGCTGAAGTCTGACGAACAGCTTTTTGAAACCCTAGAGCACAACCAGGTAAAATGGATTTTTATTTTAATTAGCAATTTTATATATTTTTACCCAAAAATTCACGTACAGAGTCTGATTCATTTGTTCACTGAGCATCTACTCTCGCCGGGCTCTAGATGTGAGACCATTTGGCATTCAACAGTGTGGAATTGTAGTTCAGAAAGGAGCTGCACAAAAGAGTCCCCTGTGAGACTAAGGGGAGATGGACAGACACCTAGGGGACTAAGGAGAGACAGACAGACTCTAGGAGACTAAGGAGAGATGGACAGACAGACTCCTAGGAGACTAAGGAGAGAGAGACAGACAGACTCCTACAAGGCCAAGCAGAGACAGAATGACCACCAGCAAATGATGGCTATGCAATGGGGACAATGTTAGTAATGTTTGGGACACCAGAAAGCAGCCACCTCTCAGGGGTCAATTGTTTTTGGGTTTCTTGGAATATACTTTTTTCTTCATGGATGTTGTGGAAATTAAATCTGTAGACACAGGTGTGAGGATAGCATATATGACCATGAGTTGTAAAGATAAAGAGCATCTCTTTAGACCTTTGGGAGAAGAGAGGTTGATGGGAGCATTTGAGAAGGCAGTAGCTGTCTCTGTGATTAGATAGATGTAAGCCTAGAGCATACTGACACTATGATTCTTGGTCTATTTGGTGTGAGAGTTGTTTATATAAAGGCAGAGGTCAGCCCAGAGCCCAGCCTAGAGGCTCAGTGTAGCATGAGGTCATTGTCAGCATCCAGCGAGTTGGACAGAGACAAAGGACCTAAAGCCTAGTGCCTTGAGGAAGATCTGCATTTGGTCACAATAGAATGGGTGGGAGAGGGTAAGAGACTGTGAACAGGCAAATAATGGAACAGGATATTGCATAGGAGTCAAGGGTTTTGCCCCAAAGAGGAATCGTGTGTGTTAAATACTTCGAGTGAAGGAGAACAAGAAGGGGTCAGTTTATCCGGTGAAGTCCTGAGGTTTCCATGTGAGCTTGATGAGAAGTGACTAGGACTGCTGCATGTGACAAGTCTTGGTGGCAATAGACTCAGCTAAGAGAGGAAAGAGTAAGCTTGAGGGAAATTTTACTTTTTTGAGGCCTACATGCATACAAATACATGCATGTGTGCGTGCGCCACACACACACACACACACACACACACACACACACACACACACACACACACACACACAAACAAAACGGGCAGGGCCAAGGGGCTTTCATTCTCAAAGATGCCCCTAGTACCTGTTAGATGGTGTTTATCTTTACTCTTGAGGCAGAGTTTTTTGTTTTTGTTTTTTGGGTTTTTTTTTGTTTTGTTTTGTTTTGTTTTAACTGGGACTTGGGACTAGTTGTTTGGGCTGGGCTGGCTGGCTGTTGAACTCTAGGGATCTGCCCATCTCTGTCTAGCTTTTTTTTTTCTAATCGTGTGTGCTGAAGACACGAACTCAGGTCATAACAAGTCCTCTATGGACTAAGCCATCTCCCCAGCCCCCAGTATTGGTTTTTACCTACACATAAGTGCCTGTCCTTCTCGTGGAAGACGTGCCAAGTAAACGTAGATGCTTCTACTTCCCTCATTTCTTTGGTTGGCTACATCAGCGTGCTATGAATTCCTTGGCCCATTTTGCAAGAACTTGATAGTGCCTCTCTGGGTTCCGCACAAGGTGCAAGAACACGGAAACTGGCAGAGTAGCCTGCCTCGTGGCACTCACAGTTCGCCAGTCAGCGACTGACCGGTGCCTGCCCGCCTTGCCTTCTAGGTTCAGTTGCAGACTCTTCTTCAAAGCAAGTACGTAGAACACTTCCTCGAGCAAGTCCTGAGCTGGCAAAACAAGCTAAACGTAGCCGATGCTGTCATCTTCACCTGGATGGAAGTCCAGCGAACTTGGTCTCATTTGGAAAACATCTTTGCTTGTTCAGAAGATATTCGAGCCCAGCTCGTGGAAGATTCCAGAAGATTTGATGGAGTAGATGCTGAATTTAAGGTTGGTCAGAGACGGGGTCCTGTCCTGTCCCAGCAAAGCTTCCACATGTGAAAACCCACGATGAGTTTCATGGTTTTAGGCTCTTAAGGTGCAGTTTGTACGGAAACTTTATGGGTTTTTGTTTGTTTGCTTTGTTTTTTTTTTACAAATCCTGCCATGGCCGTGTTAGCTCTTCAAGGCTGCCACTGTGGCGTGGCAGATGGCTATGAAAGCAGGTATGACCCTTCCGTGAAATCATGTTAACCAACACCGTTCATACGTGGTGCAGACATGGTGCCGGACACGCCTACAGTCCCCTGGACCCTGACCATCCGGCCGTCTGTGCTATCAAATGTGGATCCTCTCAGTGGAAGGAAAACGGCGAGTTTCTAACATCTGTGTTACGCTTATACGCAGGAGTTAATGTTCAAGACAGCCAAGATAAAAAACGTCTTAGAAGCAACGTGCAGACCCCACCTCTATGAGAAGCTGAAAGATTTTCAGAGCAGGTAAGAAACACCACAAAGGGTCCGCTCAGGCCTGTCCCTCCCACGTTCTAACACTGTTCAGTATTACGTGGCTGAAGCTGCTCTGTGTTCTCTAGCTGCCCTGTGTGTCTAGGGTGAGGTTTCCGATAACTGGTCCATTCTTTCATCACATTGCGTATACTGACTGAGCACCTACTGTGCGCCAAAACCCTGGACAGCATCAGCACTCACTCACTCACTCGATCACTCACTCACTCACTCACAGTCCTTCTGTCTTCATTCTTTCCCCCACCTTTCTCTCATT